TACAACCATCAATGGAAAAGGCCATGTGACATCTTGTTTATGCATTCTATGCATTCCACTGTCAAATCACAATGTCTTTCATTCTGCTTAAGATGAGCAGGTTTCTGTTAATTACTTTAATTGAAAACATTTCAAGTACATACAATGGAGACATTGTTGTTAGCCTAAGAATCACTTTATTTACAATTGTTTGGCACTTTAAAAGCCCTTTAATACTTCACCAGCCCTCCTGCATAAACACTTTAGACTCAACAGTACTCAACATGAAAAGATGCTCAATAAATTTGAGCTGACCAGAATGGTTACTGAAGGCTTACTGGAACCACTCAAACATACCTAATTTCTGAGGAGAATTCTGCACAGTCCAAAGTGCAGACGCCAACATGTTCCCTAGTCGCATGCTACCATCTAGTGTCCCAAAATGAGACAGGATATACAGTGGAAATGAATGACAGAAAACAAATCAGGGAAATAAATTAGACAGCAAGAAAGTAAGAGTGTTATGTCAATAGAAGCATTAGTTCTATCTAAGATAATGGAGTTAATCGGCTAATGCTGCCACTTAAAGTCTCACCAAGGTATAATAACATGAGTAAACAGTTCTTTATCAACCATTCACATGGACATGTTTTGGCCACTTTTTAAATGAGGGTTGTGGAAGTATGGTGGGATCACATTTCTTTCTGTACAGACCCATAACAAAGGCACTGCAATATCGTGTCTGAGTGGTAGATGCACAGGCCTATTTATAGTGCAAACATTCTACAGCTATCAGGCAATTTAATGGTCTTAATGTTGGTTGGGATTAAGATCACTGCATTTGCATATCTATCGCCTCATGCAGTCATATTGTAATAACAATAAAAATAATAACCACCAGTGACTAAGTTGGGTGGGTGTCTAAAAATAATGCTTAATCATAAAGCATCCAGTAGCATACATTTGTAAAAACACTTTGTTTACAAGTGTAATAGTCTTAAATTATTTTTGATGGGTCCCCTCGCCTGCATTTGTGGGATTTGCAATTTGCAAGCAGAGCTGAAGTGAATTACAATTCAACTTCAATGCAGGAATCAGAATTGAAAACTGTTTTAGATTTGGATTTGGAGTTGACATCTGGATCAAACACTCTAGCAAATGCAGACCATTAAGGTTTATTTACATTAGAGGTTGTAGATCACAATTTTTTTACTCCAATGTAAAGTCACTTAACAGGGCCATCACATGCAGCCAGTACTGCTTATTTGCACCATGGAATTTCTGGATTTGGCAGGAGGGATGTGGCACCATTCTTGGTCGATCAACTCACGCCTAGTTGATGGAGGTGGAAAGCCCAGTCTTCGGTAACATCCCAGAGTATCCCATAAATTACTGATTATTCAGATGGTGACTGCAGGAGCCATGACATAAAGATAATGCCAGTGTCCTGTTCATCCAGCTGTTCGGTGAACACATGTGCTCTGTGGATCTTATCCTGGAAGACACCCCTCCCGACAGTAAAGAAAAGCTGCAACAGGAGGTGAAGATGATCATACAGGACCACTAAGTAGACATTAGCACTGGCCTAGACTTCTAAAGGGTCTGACTTCATCCAACCCATACCAGGATAATGTGCCCCACATCATTATAGAACTAACACAGCTCTACAACTCTACTCTACACTGTTGTAACCAAGCGCTCAGGGTGGTATGTCTTTAGATTGGTGCACCCATGCACTGTCCATTTGGCTAGAACATGACAACGGATGATTCATCGGGCAATATCACATTACTGTTCTTTACTGTATAACTGTTCAGCAGTCCATTATAAATGTGCATTGCCAGGCATGATCAGGAGTTTGATCAAGGAACCCGATTACTGCATCTTGCGCTGTTCCCAGACGATCATTTGTTTTTAATCTGGCTGCTCATGCCTCAAGTTGAATATTGCAGTCAAATGACCTAGAGGTGCTCTCCAGTTTTGCACTGCACATCAGATAATGCATGAATCATCATGATGCTGGAGTATCTACTTCCTCCTATTGCCCTTTCCCTCAGAGTTCCATGCTGACATCACCTTAGACACCTCTGCACATGAAACATCAGCAAGAGACTTGGTCACTGAGCCTTCTGACATATATGCCCCAATAATCACCCCTCTTTAAAAGACACAAGAGATCTCCTCTTGCAGCCATGCTAGCCATATTCCCAGGCAAGCATGACCTTTCCAGCATTTTAAAAACTTAATTTCCTTAGTATAACGTGAGCATGAGCCACACCTGTGTAGAAGCCATTGCTTTCCAATATACCATTTACCTAGGCTGTGGAGCCTTCTTCAGGTGGCATTCTTCACACCCGAAGAAGACTCCACAGCCAAAACATTGCATTTCCTTTCTTCTCTTCTCAGCATGGAATAAACCTTTGACTTATTCCTACTTGAACTACCATTTACCTAGGTGTTGATTTGTCCAGTACTTGTATACATGAGCTTATGGAAATGCTAATTAAAATAGGAGATCAGTTGTATGGTAATAGGATTCTAGGGGGTAGTCTGCATGGACTTGAACATGGTGGGTGTTGCTTAAATAAAATATTACTCTTTGAACATACAACAACAGCAACGGATACAAACACAAAATATGATATGATATATTTAGGAGATTGTGATAAAGCAAATGCAAGTATTTAGATTGAAAACTGGTTAAATGGAGAGGAAGCAGGGTTACAGATAAGGAATCCATGTTCAAATTAGAATGATGCAATTAGTAGTGTACCACAGGGATCTCTATTAGGCTGAAAGTGCAGCTGAAACTTCTATCCAAAGTTTCAACTTATATTTGAATCAACGGGGCCCTTTTATTAGGCCCCTGCTCATACCTCAGTTAACAATGTAGATATGTTACTTGATGTCACTCAATTATCAGAAACGTTTTAACCAAATGTCGAAATAAATTAGGAGGCAAAGGGATGCATTCAAGGACTTCACTGAAAGAAGGTACAGTAGAAAATTAAATACTACACAAATAAAATCAAATTTGATGCATATATAAAAGAATATTAAAATAAGGTTTTTCTAATGATCACATATGCTCAGTACCTTCTGTATTATCAGCACCTGGCCTAGAGGCATGAGCTACTATGTCATATCATCGAGTCCTACACTGAACTCTGCTCTATGTTCATGCCAGTTTAGTAGCGGTAAGATCACTAGACTCCTGCTGCAAAGCCTTTACGTTGTTTTCTTGCTTTAAAATGGTCCTGAAGGTCAAATGCAGTAATCCAAAAACAAATGCTACTTTGCTTTTCATCTTTCCCACTGCTACCCTCCTTACGATTTGCATTTTCATTTCCACAAAATGGACTTACGCTACAGTGTTGACCAGTAAGATGTTTCTTTGGGTGACATAAAGGGGTAGTAAAATTAACATATCAATCCCAAAATACTATAAAGTAAACTTTCATTATTTAAAGTTTGGGCAGTGAAAAAAAGAGTACTGATGAGCTTCCTGATGAGTAAGCAGGAGAAAAGAGACTACAAACTCTTCAGAAACTGGCTCCTGATAATGTAAAGAAACCACACTCTGTTTATAATCACCCAAACCTTTGATCTTTGTAGTAGCTTCCCATTACAACTTAAGAGCTTTTTAATACTTATTTTTAATTTTAAATGGAATTTTGTTCCCAGAGTGATTTGCTAGCTGACATGCTACCTCTTGCTATTCTACATTATCGTATAGATAAAAGTAAAGGTTTAAATCAAGGGATGTTAAGGTATAATTGAAAAGAGCATTATTAAGACCTCATTTAGAATACCACAATACAAAAACCATATTACCAGTATGGAATAAGTTCAAACTAAAGAAACTTAATGCATTCCCATGCTTAAAGAAATACCGTACACATACAGGCTAAAATAACTGATTTCTTTTAGTCTTAGAGAGGACCATCAGGAAACCAGGCCCAAGTATTGAAAATTCTCAAAGCCCTTGAAAAAGTCCACCCCCTGGAGCTCTTCAGACTTAATAGCAATAGCAAGTCACGAACCAGAGGACACATGTGGAAACTATGGGGAAGAGCATTTAATTGAGAACAAGAGGCACTGTTCTACACAAAGGGTGGAGGTGTTCAGGAAGAGGAATAGGCTATCTATCGAACTGCATTGTCAAAGATGACACCCAGGCTTCTTTTAAGTCCTGGAAGGCTGTGCTCCTTGGATCTTTTAGCTAGTGAAAAACCAATAGAACTTTATGGACCGAACAGCCTTCAGTCATGCAAGCACGTTTGTCTTCCTCTGCTGGGTCGGCTCGGTCTCAGAGTTCTGACTACGTGACAGTTGTAAGCGATCTGAATCTTCCATCTCAATGTGGAATGTAATTCCCAGCTCTGGTGAAGTGCCTTGTCACTGAAGGCATACTGAGACAGCCCCTATTGTTTGTATGTTTTGGTATGTTCTTAAAAAGGAAAGATTTAATAACAAGGATTCATGTAATGCTTTCATTTAACTATTCGATTTGCATCATTTCCAAAACTGGAATTGAACAAGTGCAAATATAACTCAATTGACTCCAGCTGTGCTTGCAAAACAGCACCTTTGTCTTGATTTATTATTGAACTTTAAGACCTAGAAAGCAGCAAATTACAGCATTTCTCAACTCATTTCATACCCGGTGTCAGAAAGCTCCCGTAATATGAAGCAGCACTTATATATGGCCATATATGCTGTAAATTACTACGAAGGATACATTGAAACGTTACTTCTGAAAGAACGATATCCTCAAAAAAGAAACTTCTACGGTGCTTCCTTTAACATCAGCCTTCAGCCACCCAAGACCTTTATCAAATAACATGATTAAACTGACTCCCCAAGATCCTCCTAGACACGTGGCATCTGACACTTTCATGACATCTGGGGAAAGATTAGTCACTAGAAACCAAAGCTGGATGGGTCCTTACTGCGGCAGCCATCTCCAGTTATGTTTGTGCTGATCATTTAAAGATTCAGATAGACGTGTGTGACCCTACCTGTCATGGGATCAAAGAGCTGGTTGGCCTCCAGGTCAGTAAAAGTGCTGAAGCAGCAAGGACACTTAAAGGAGGCTCTGTTGGTGGAGTCCCTCTCGTCTGTCTCGATTCGCCGCCGCATGTGGTCCAGCTTGTACTTGACCACGTTGACCAGCAGCCGGTAGTTGATGAAGTAGTAGTTGTGGCGGGTGGTCTTGCCATCCGGGGCCGTCTCCACCCGCATGCGGCACTTGATGAACTTGTCCCCCTTCAGCGTGTTGAGGACAGAGCGCAGCTGTTTGCGGTCGAACTTGAGCAGCTCCAGCATGTCCTCCTCTTTCACGCAGGGATTGCGGATCAGGATGTCCACGGCCAGAGCGTGTTCCACCCCATAGAAGCCGCGCACCACCTGCTTGGCCAGGCGCTTCAGGGAGGCAGGCACCTCGGTCAGGACTTCCGGCTCAGTCATGACGCTCCTGAAAAGCAAGGGTGGGCAGCCACGCGCATCCGTTATGTTTTGTTACTGCAGGCAGGATGAAAGACACTAGAAAGCAAATATCCCAGATGGGTCCAATGCCTTTTAGCCATTACCAATTATTTCAACAATTCGTTTCTACTTGTGCCTCTGATTGGTGTTACATTTTGAACTCTGAATAAGACCGCTGGGTTGACTTTGTCAGTGCCGGTAAAGATTTTGAATACTTGACACCCGTACCCTTGTACTTTACAATTTTCAAGACTAAAATCAGCATTTTTGCTGTATACTAATCATTCCAATCTTATTGCACTACTGCTCTTCCAAAATACTCTACAGGAGAATGTGGTGTAGGAATACAACATCACACCTGAAATATGCGCTCAACAGGTCAATACTGCAGACAGTGATCCAAAGAAGAAAAGCAGCATTCAAGAGGAGCAAAATATTTCGATGAACATTATTAAAGACACGCAATTGTCACAAAGTATGATTTCACTGAAAAGCATTAATCAATACTTTGCATACGAAAAAGGGTCAAACTAAAAGGAGCCCTTAAACCAGGTGTATGTTATCACTGGTGATTTTTCTAACACTGCTTTATTCTTCAAGATGATTGGTGTGTCTTGTTTTGGAAAAATGATCAAGAAACTTTGCATCCATTTATCTGCTCTGGGATTTCAGACTGGCACAACACTGCCCATCAGTAATTTGTGTGAAGTGATGCCACATTCACTAAAGAAGATCGTATATTTCCCTTATTGCGCAGCCTCACATAATAAGACGGCAAGATCCTTGATAATGTTCACTCTCCATGACGGGGGCTCACACAATCAGGAAAAAATCCAGTTAAAGGAAAGTAATATGAGAACATAAGAAAGGATACAAACAAGAGGAGGCTATTTGGCACATCCAATGCAGCTCAATTGGTAGTAATCGCCAAATTCAGCTTACAGTTGCCTAGTTTTATGTACCAATAATGAAGTACTGTGGAGTTCACTGCTATGGTTTATTAGAGATACGTCCTTCCTGACTGGTTTGGCATCGAGACAAAAGCCACACTTTCACTTAAAAACATTTTAAAAGATTAAATTCTCTTTTAATATCGCTTTATGTGTTTGTACGACTTTAATGATCATAACGAATACTATTTTAATATGACACTTTTCACTTATTTTTTAAATGAATCTTGTTATTTTTGTGTGTGGTGCAAATCTAAAGTACACATTTCACCGTTTCTAAAGCTAATTTCCAATGGCATTCCTTCGCTTTGTTATTGTGAGGTTATGCTTTAGTCAAGCAGTGTTGCCGTTCTTTCATGAAAATAGGCAAAGCATCCAATCAACAATTGCCCAACTACAGCAGACCTCACAAAAGTCTGAAGTCAACAACAGCCCAGCCTGAATATCAACAACAGAGGAAATCACCTTTCAACGCTCGTGAAAAATCAGCAATCTTCTTCTTTTATTAGTTTCTTCCAGCTTGGTTTTCTTCCATGAAAAATCTAGTATTCAATGAAGTCGCAAAACAATATAAAAAAAACAATACCCACCCGATAACAAATCACTACCACCTTCTTCTAAACTCACCCCACGAGAGCGCGCGTCTCTGGCGTGGGCACTGTGGAAGTCGTCACCAGCGCAGCACAGCGCCCTCTCGCCATTGGCCACAGCTGCTGCGCAACAGAAACTGGCGCTGGGCTTCACCAATAGCAGAGCTCTGGGGCGGTGGGTTTTCGCTACTCCAACACACGGCACTTCCAGATCGAGACCTAGGAACCAATGAAAATCAGAAGTAGTTTCACATTGGGCTGGTAAAACAGAAGGACTGACGTCTATTGATATTTTTCCGGGTCACCGTGAATATGACTAGAGAAGATGGCCTCTCTTGATAGGGTGAAGGTTTTGGTTTTGGGGGACTCAGGTTAGTACTTCCATCACATTACAGTGCTTTATTAAGATTGTCGCGAATATAGATGTAACTGAATATGAAAAGTATTACGTTTTTTGCTTGTGTTACACATAAAATATTTATAGTGTAATACTGTGTAGCTTTATGGTATTTAAATAAATGTATGGAAAGTATATTGCAAGTGTCATTTTGCAAACCTTTTTAATGAAGTTGTATTTCATGTTATCGTGTGACTGTAATTCTGCGCTAGTGGTTTCTTTCGTTATAAAAAGGCCGTAGGTCTTGGCAGTGTGGTTCTGTTGTCTGCCAGACAGTACAGTATGTTGTCTTAACACAACTCTTAGTTGAGATGTTCTTAAGACGAAACATTTTCATCTTTGTATTATGCAGACGTCTTTAAATCATTATCGCCGTTTGTTTTTTCACGTAATAAAAGCATTCTCACTTTATTTGGTTTCAAAAGACAGACCTACTGCAAAAACCATTTCCTTCACGTAATTCATGTTGAGACAGTATTATTAAATAGTATGTACTGTATGTGATGTTTTTTGTCTTTCATTACATTATGGTTATTTCACGTTGTTTGAAAAGTTGCTCTTACGTGCTTTGATTGCGTATTAGTTAACATTAGTTAATTGTTGCTATAATTGTTTCACTCACTTATTCAGATAAACTGACAAAGGGACTTTAATTCTGTAGGTGTTGGCAAATCATCTCTCGTACACTTACTGTGTCACAATCGGGTGCTTGGTAACCCTTCGTGGACTGTGGGCTGTTCTGTGGACGTCCGGGTGAGACCTTCAATTTTGATATTTATAGCAGGTTACTCATCTCATCAGTTTCAGGACTTTTATTAAAAGGGCTTCTGTAATCTGTAATGAGGACACATCACAGTTCTTCCTTGTTATCTACATGACAATAATGTCTGGAGTTAATGCCTCAAATCTAGTAGTAAGAATAGTACTTAAATACTTAAGATTGCAATGGAGAACACACATCTCAGAGAGATGGTATTTACATACGAGACAAACATTTTGCATTATGATGTAAGGTGAAATTCGTAGTCGAAATGTGTGACAGAATAAATCTCAATATCAGTTTAGCTTCCCTTACTTTTAAAGTGCTTGAAACGATAATAGCAGTGCAAAAACATACATTCCTACTCACTCAGCCCTTGGGTCTCCCCAGTACAAACGAGAAAGCTGTGTTTTATAGGTCCATGACTACAAGGAGGGCACACCAGAGGAGAAGACGTACTACACTGAGCTGTGGGATGTTGGAGGTTCAGTGGGCAGTGCCAGTAGTGTGAAAAGCGCCAGGGCTGTGTTCTACAATGCTGTCAATGGTAAATGTCATGAACACTGCTCATTCAGAGACGTACTGTACATGAAATCTGATCCAATAAGGAATTTCTGCAACTGTGTTTTTCAATCAAATTCCATCTGCTTGGTTTGTAGGCCTCATATTAGTCCATGACTTGACAAACAAGAAATCTTCGCAGAATTTGTATCGTTGGTCATTAGAAGCCTTGAATAAGGACTCTTCTCCATCGGGGGTTATAGTCACCAATGGGTATGTGGTATTCATTACATTATTAAAAAGACAGGTAATATTTACACAATCCACTGAAGGCTCTGGCAGCCCATTAAACTGTACTCAATTGTAATTATCCTTTTGCAACCCTCTCAATCAGTTTGTTTGCAGCTCTGCTGGGTATGTCTGGCTGTAAACATGCCACAGTTGTGAATAAGCATGAGCAGTGAGTAGAGTTCTGAGTTTGTAAATGAAAGGCCATCAGTTAAAATCCCTGGATTGACAGTTCTGTTGTGCTAATGTGCTGCTGCTTCTTTGGAGAACAGCATCATACAAGTACAATAATAGGAGATGCTTTGCTTGCTTAGATTGTGCTAGGTACCAATTTGCCACTAGATGGGGTAGTTCACTATGTATATCAAGGGCAGCTAATCTTGAAATCTGTCAGAGCTACATACCACAAGCTTGATATGACATAGAGTCTGAAAGCACAGTGTTAAACATTACATTTGTAAGTAGAACTTTGAAATGCTCAAAGTATTTGGATTTGTTTTCTAATTGTCACATTATAGTATTTATAATATTATATCAAAACATTTTTAAAACAATCTAAACAAAAAAGGAGTCTTAAACAAGTCAGAAGTCAGAGACGTGTACATTCATATTTACTGAAAATTATACAGAATTAAAAAGTAAAGACCTTTCTTAGGAAAATGTTTATGTTGAACCCACTGAAGACAGGACATGTAAACACTAATTTTTCTTTGCAATGAAAATGCAAAAACTTAAATGCACGTCTGGGATGAGCAGTGTTCCATGCAATAGCTAATCTTGCTTCAGTAGTTAAATTTACCAAAAGCTGAATTTTCATTTTAAAAAGGTATTTTTTCTTGTCACCCCAAGTCTTGTGGTGTGAGGCTGGTTTCACAGAAAGTACAGGGATGTTCAGATTTCATTCATGATTTCAAAATCTTACCCTTGTTCTGTTTTAAAGGCTTGTTTCTTATCTTCATAATTTCATTCCTTAAATACTATCTACATGTTGCAATTATGTCCACAAAACAAATTGTACACTTTAAAATTGCAAAAGGCTTAATTCTGAGATCCTCAACTGTGCTACCCTACCATCAGTGGTCAACCTTTGTCAAATTAACGAGATCTAAAATCATGAGTACCACATTAACAGGTTAGCCTCTCATCAAACCAAGACTCAAACAATTAAATATGCAGCTGAAAGAAACGAGTACATTGAACGTGATCAATTGCCAAAGCGATTGACAAAATTAACTTTTAGATTTTGCCAATTATCCATACTTTATTCTCATTTGACACTCTTTCTTCCAAGTGTTCAGTTCATGAGCAGGACAATTTGTGCCTGCAGCATTTCCCCGTGCACCCCTGCCCTTCCCTCCTATACTGTATATGATCTAGCCACAAACATCTGTCTTCTGACTGCTGTGTGCAGGCTGATATCATTGTACCATCTTACAAGAAACCTTGTTCTTGGTTGTATTATTTTCTGTCCTGGAATCCAGGCCAGTTTTTCCTTGGTCTAACTGTGGTCAACTCTTCTGACTGTTTCTGTCCCAGTGTCATTTTCATCCTTTTTCTCTTGCAATGATGTTACTTTTTAATTCAGCTTGTTATTACTTGATTGCTGTTGTGCTTCCTTTGCTTAAAAAAATCTGAAGTTCTTTTACACTTTGAGTTCCTTTCTTTCTCTGTCGCTGCTTCTACTTCCAGTGATTATGACCGAGAGCAGTTTGCTGAAAATCAGGTTCCTCTGCTGGTCATAGGGACCAAGTTTGACCAGATTCCAGAGAACAAGCGTAATGAGGTACTGACAAGGACTGCTTTTCTGGCTGAGGATTTTAATGCTGAGGAAATAAATCTGGTATGTACTTTCCCTTTGTAGCTGTTGTTTTTTTTTTTGTACATTGTAGATCCTAACCAGCAACATTTCCAAAATCATCTCTGAAGAGAACTGTGCACATTCTATAATTTTACTTTTTTTCTGAGACTGTTAGGTTTCATATGTGTGAAAAATAGTGAAATGGTGAACCAATGACGTGATGGTTTTTCATATATTGCAGTACTCTTTTATTCATTTTTATGCATAATAAAATGTCCTGCACATAAGTTGTATTCCAAAATTTATTTTTTTATTTTTAATACATTTATTAAAAGTTATTTTCTTGGTTTGGAGTTTGCCTTTCTGTCTTTGTCCTTCAAGCAATAATGCTGTGAAGTCTGTCAGAGCCTTTAGATAGTCTTAGTGTCCTGCTCCTCACATTTCCTTCAATAGCATTGAAAATTATGGATCACGGCAAACACTGTCCTTCCTTATAAATCACTCTTAATTTAATGTTTTTAAAGTTTAGGTGTAGGAAATTCTTATTTCTATTTCTGTTTTTAACAGGATTGCACTAACCCAAGGTATTTAGCTGCAGGTTCATCAAATGCTGTAAAATTAAGCAGATTTTTTGACAAGGTAAGTTTCTCTGTATGTACATAGCAGCAGAAATGGAGTAGTATCAGCTTGTTGACTGTGTGGCATTGTGCAGAAAAGCTAGTCTGTATTGGAACATGGCAGTCTGTCATGGTCTTTTTCATAAGAATTGGCCATAAGGCAGTTCATGGAAGTAAAAAACTAACTCGAAGAATATGTCTTGAGATGCAGTTTTAATAAGACATTGCATTTGCCTATGATGATCTTCCCCACTCGTGTATTAAGACAATCGGGTGTTTTGGCAGTATCAATATATCCCATTTATTAAATACAGAGTGATAGAGTTTTACCCATATTTGGATCTACCTAGTCCATGTACAAAGACTTATTGTTCAGTATTAATACTTTTATTACATTTGCTTATGTTTTTCAGGTAATAGAAAAAAGATACTTCACAAGGGATGGAAACCAGGTTTGTTTTACTTATGATAATTCTGCTAAAGAGATCTAAAATGAAAGTTTTTTTTTTATCTTGTGTGTTCCTCTAAGAACATAGCCAGATTTAAATTACTATTCTACTTAAACTTTGATTGCTTTGCAAGGGGTGTAGATACAAGCCTTCAGGATTTGCAATGCTATGCTTGACAGTTATTGATCTAGTCAAAATAATAGAATTAATAAAAAGATAAGAATCATCTTCCTTGATTATACACTCTCAGTTTTGCTTATGTATTTGCTTTTAGTTAATTGAAGATCTTATCCAGGATTTTTTTAAAAAGATGTTAGGGTACCTGCTTCAAGATCTGGCTGGGTAGCTTGTTCCAGACTTTGACATCCCTTTGTGTAAAGAAGAGCCCCCTATTGTCCCTTTTTAATACCCTTATTATGATTCATACAGAAATAGATGACAGTATCAGAATAAAAACCAACAAAAAAAACATGTACACTATGAATATTTTCTTACTGAACTGTTTGTGTTGCTTAAATTAGTTATATCTGTGTCTCTTCCTCCACAGATAAGTGGCTTCTCAGACAGGAAGCGTTTTGGAGCAGGAGGCTTCAAGAACCTTCATAACGACTGACCATCCCATTTGTGTGCAGATACTGGGCCTAATAGTTCTGAAGACACTGACTTGAAAAATGTGCCTCCTTGTTGGGTAGAATGGTCTTTGCCTTTGGTACAGAGGTACAATAGTGTCCTGAGTGACAACCGTTTTTCTGCTGTGGAAGAAAGACCACAATGTTTAAAGCAGATATGCAAGGAACCATGTCACCCCAACAGAGAAATTCCCTTCATAGTCTTTACCTTTTGGAGTGGTTTTCAGGCAGCTGACGATAATGGTCTTTTTCTGGTTGATTCAGTAGTGTTGCTTCAGCACCTTATGTTTCCATAGAAGGGAGTCTTTAATTCATATGTGGATTGTGAAGAAGCACACTGAAGACGTGGCAAAACAAATTTTCAAAACCAATATTCTGAAGTACTGATGACTGAAAAGGTCATTAAGTTATTGAACCTAAAGAACATTTTGGCCATCGGTTCATCAAAATATTTTTTTCCAGTTAATTTACTTTAAATGTATTTTATAAGTTGTTTCACATGAGATGAAAGAAGCAGTTTGTCATGTTTTTATCCTTAATACAGGTGGGCTATATTTTTCCTGAGTCTGCTGTGTGGCTTTCTGTGACAAAAATATAATATATTAGAACAGCACATAGTTTCCAAATCAACCTTATCATTAAATCTGCTACATAGTGATCAACATCCTAGCTCCAAAATTAAAAATACGTAACATATAAGATTAAATGATCAAAAAATGTAAAATTACAATAGAAAATCATATATATACTGCATATCAAAAGCATACAGCAAAAAAAGAAATTCCCCAAAAATTCCAATGTAATCATAAATACATTTTGGATTTCGCAGAGTCAAGTCAGGACAAAAAGTCAAGACTGCAACTTGTGCAACGGTGTAGGATTAAAAGGCTAAGCAGTCTCTAATTGCCTCATGGTGAGGCACTGCTCCAGGGAATGTGTTGATTCTTGAGTATCCTGAGTAAATAGAGATTTAGGAATAAGATTATCTGAGAAATGAATAACCTTGGGCTAATTTCTGTTTTGAAGTTAAAAAGCATGATTCTCAGTTAGGTTCTCAAGACGAAATATAAATCTTTCTCCTTTTCATTTCTTACAGTGCATGTTGGGTACAATTCACTGTGTTTTCAAAAATACAATTATAAAAATTTAGTGTAATTTGGTTTGATGTTGTATTATGCAGTTTGATTTGTTGTATTTTGAAATATAGGTGAAATAGAAAATAATTTTGAAAAATTAAATGTTCTTTCAAATCCCAATCCACCACATTAAGATGTTTTATGATTTCCTTTCTAAAGCTGCTGTTTGCCACTCGCGATTTTTATTTATATCTGTAAATTTAAGTTTGTTTTTAATTTCAGAATCTAAATGGCTGATATAGATCAGGAAGAGCAATTTATATACAAAATTGTATCTGTTTAGCTAGTATTTTATTTTAAACTTTTTTCTTCTCATTAAATTATTCCTGATTATCCTTTGTAGCTTCTCATGCTCAATTGTTCTTTTCTGACCACTCAGATGCATTCATCCCCCTACAGCATGTTTGCTTTGGTTTCATCCTTTGTTTCATAAGCTCAGAGGGGCTAATCTAATGACTGGAGTGCATGATCTATCAATTTCACTGTTCTCTGTTCTCATTTCTGGTGTGAGTACGGCATTTGAAGCAGAGTCTGCTCATGTGTGTTTAATTGAAATTAGAAGTCTGTTTAGACCAGAAAGACTTGAAATCAACGTTTTTCTGCTAACATAATGTCTGCAAAACAGGAAACAATCAACCAACAGGAAGGTATTAAAAGAAGCAGTGCTGTCAATGCATAGAATACATAAATAAAACTACACTACTGCTGCTAGCGAATTGTGTATGCAGGTTTGAAAGACTGATGGTTAAATGTATGACTTTGTGCTTTTGCTGTTGTTTTTACAGCTAGGGTATTTTTTCCAAGATGTTGTGTCATAATAAGAATGCCCTGTGAAACTGAAAGTCTTTCACATCATTCTATCAGTCCAAAGTGTGAAAATTGAGCCTGCATTGTTAAAAAATTGAACAGTCTCAAATTTCAAATGCATAGTATTAAATGTTGATATTTCAGTGTTTACAGAAAAGTCTCTCTAACTTTAATTTAAAAAAATGAAATAGTATAATTAATGAAAGGAAGATAGATTCACTGTGAGGAAATTGAATGTGGTACATTATAATATAGTTCAAGCAGGGAGCTGCGTCAGCATGCGTAGGCTGTAAAGGAACAGGTAACGGGTTTATTCCATGCTGAAAAGAGAAGAAAGGAAACACAACGTTTTGGCACGTGGAGCCTCCTTCAGGTTTGATTATAATATCGTGTGCCTTACATGGAATGAAACATTACCATAGATTTAAAAGCTAGTGTAATGAGAAAATCCAAAGTAGTAAAAATATTGAATAAGTTACAAGGGTTAAAGAATTACAAGAGGAAGTACCACACCTGTGTGCATTTACATAGAATCACACAGATTCTACAGATAGCACCCCAGGAATTGAAGCCAGGGCCCAAGTGCTGCACCATAAAGCCCCCATTAGTAACTAATAATGTCAAATATATATTAAATTTCATGACATAATTGTATATAAATACATCATTTCTTAAATTTGTACAGCATGTTTCATTACAATGTATTTTAAGTAAAGGATCATACACACTTTATCAACCACTGAAATCGGCTCCTCCTGTGTGCTGGCTGGATGATGAGCACCAGAAACCAGCTAACACAGTAGATTAGGTGTAGAGGTGTCAGCTAATTCATTTTTAATCAATTAAAATGTAACTATTTGAACGAAGGGGGACTGAGCAAGCCTGGAGTAGCAATTAGGCAGTTAACACTAATGCCATAGGATATCTCATAACCACAAGTAGTCAGAGCCTTGATTAATATTTCATCTGAAGGATGTCACTTTCCATAGATCCCTGTCACCAAACTGGCAATTGGTTTGGAAACCTGTCTAGTCTAGAGATAAGAGTGTCAGCTACTGACCCTACACCACTTACAGAACCATGATTTTTCTTTTAGGTCTCCAGTGCTGACCAGTCTTAATCTTGTTTAGCTTGTCCAGGCTACTCAGTAATAATGGTATGGCAATTTTAATTTTTGAAGTTATTATTTCTCATGTGTAGCTGAAATTCTGTTACTTTTGAAAAAAGTAGGCTTTTGTGCCAGAAACAACAAAATCACTCTTTGAACCATTCCTGAACACACAGGAAATTGCTATAAAATGCAAATTTCTCACTATGCAATCTGGTGTCAAAACCTCTTTTTTAAAGGAGGTTTTACCTTATTTGTTTTAACACCTGATTTATGCTAAATCATTGAACTGTAAAATATAATTGAGCTAAAAAAATGGTGTAACAGTATTTTGTTTTGTACTTCAGAATGAGAAATGACCTTTTTTTTCCTCACACAATTGAAAAGTAAGCAAACCAGTTAAATAATAATCTTAAATATTTATGCAATTGTCATGGTGGTACAGTGATTAGCATTGCAGCCTTGGAATGCTGTAGTCTTGGGTTCAATTCTGCACTTGGTGTTACTTCTATGGGTTTCCTCTATGTGCTCAGGATTCTGCACTGAGAAAATTCCTCATGTTTTACTCTAATCAGATTAAAACAAAATGGCATTCGAAGCTCTCACCTCCACCATTGGACTTCTGTTTTTACTTTTTAATGTACAACAAGGTGATAAAAGGTCATAACAGAGAAAAAACCAAAAGGTGGTCATGGTAAAACCCTTAATGGTCTGTAATACATCTTGCCATAAAATACAAACTGTGGATAGATGTTGACCAAACTCGCCACAAAAGCACACTGCAGTTTAAACATTGTGGTTTCTTTTCTTCATTTTTACTATTCAGTGTGCCTGTACAGCATTTACTTCTGCCATTATTTTTCCAATTATTAAATATTCAAATATTCACATCATAATTATTGATATACTGTAATTATGTTAATGTAAATCAGCCCTGAAATATAGCATCACTTGTGTGTGTGTCTGGGTAAACTTTGTAAAGCTGTTGCTATGTGCTTATAACTTTCAATGTTGCTTAGATGCCAAAATAAAAAATAAGCGTTTGAAAATGCAGTGTGGTGTCATGCACCATCCGTCTACCTCCTTATATCGAATTAGTTTCTATTTTTCAGCAGTGCGGTTACAATTTAGTGGGTATTGAAACCATTAAAAAAGCCACAGGGAGATATACTATAAGAACATCAAACATCACTTACTATAAGATAGTCAGCTAAGCACATGAAACAACTAAAAGCTCTATGTTTTACATAATGATATTTTTAGTGCATCTGGTGCATCCTTGCATTTACAGCAAAGGCTGGGTGAAAAAGCGGAAAGCAGGGGGTCAGCAGTTCAAATGTGCTTTTATTTTTTTTTATTTTATTGTTATTGCATTTTTTTCAAATATGATTTGTGAATGCTTCCTGCATTATGAGAGTCAGTCTGATCTCATGGATATGGGAAAAGATGGACATTTACAACACTGCAAATTCTGGACACGGAGCAGAAAGCTTGTTTTACAAATGCATACAAATGTTTCAACAACGTTTACACATACATAGCAGGAAATTGTGGTCAAAAGGTTCATTTAAAGAAAAAACAACAGATAATTTTCCGTTTTACACCTTTAAACTCTGAACAATGAAGGGGCATTCAGATGTTTCCCACTGCTTGTAGCTAAGTGGGTTTCAGTGGAAAAAGCTGTAACAGTTCTTCTCCAGAAATTACTCTTTTTTCATTACTTTCCTAAGTTATTTTTAGCACATCTATATTGTTTTAATGACTTTAATTAAGTGAAGTTTTCACCTTTCAAATGCTATTTTGTAGAAAGCTGATATAATGGATTGGATAGAATACTCATTTTCATATTATACTAGCTGATGGATGGACGTTCCCAAACCAGTGAAGATGAATTAAAAATGTAATATTTCAAGTCTTAGAATATTTAACTGTTTCCATTTATTTGCAACAGCCACTGATTATCTGTTTTATGAGTTTTGTTTTTAAATATATTTAATTGTAATTTATTTTGAATATTCATTTAAAATAGAAACTTTTTTTATTAATATGTAAGAATTGTATTCATGTATTTGTACATGGAAGCAGAGTACACATCTTAAACGGTTCTAATAAGTGTTACTTTCCTCCCTTGAATTCTTAAAAACAAAATATTTTTTTAATTCCTTACAGTTCTTTGGTGCTACAAATGGATCAAATCGAAATACAAACATCTGCATGTTTTACTGTATTACCGAAAGAGCAAAGCATTCCAAGTCAAGTAATGAAGACATTACTAGTCTATTACTAGTGTGCACACCAAAATGTGTTGTGGTTTGCCACTGTTGTTAGTGATGTACATAGCACAACCATCAGTCACAGATGCAGATGCATAACTTTGAAATTAAGGTCACTGAATGTAAAGCCAATGTTTCTAGTTTAAATCAAAACCCTTTGTCCCTGTGTTCCTTCACTCTCTCATGCTGAACCTTCCTAGTTCTTCCTATCATAAAAAGGAAAATGTCTCAGAATTGTTTGTATACCGTGCAGTAGACTCCTGTTAATATGAGGGTGTAATCTTGCATTGCACTCTATTTTTCTAGTAGAAGAATTTGATTTGCCACTTCTTGGGAATATATATTTCTACAGGGACAGGAAATATAATTTGAAATGTTATAAGAACTACGAGGAAACAGCAATCAAAAGAATCATCAAATATGAAATATAATTTTATTTATTGACATTACACCAGTAAATTATGATATCCATCCATGTATCTTCTTTCTTGCTTTATTTAATTCAGGGTCATGGGGGAGCCAGAGTCTGTCACAGCTAGCAACTTAATTCTGTCAAGCGAAATATTTTAAAAAAGAATTTAGAAATAATAATTCTATCTCAGCAACTCAGAATACCTAAAAAAAGAGGAAGATAGGAAAAATGTGATTTTCACTGGATTTGTCGTAGATTAGGCACAAATTCAACAGGGCAGATGTTTAATTTTTCATTTTTTCATTTATCCATTTTAGGAAACTATGAACTTTCATATAGACGTGTGGATAGCTGGAATCATCACACGTTGGTCCAGAGTATGAAACCACTCCTAACACTTCAGAAGCGTTAGGAGTAGTGTTGCAAACCAAGGGTCCTCCAGAGTCACCCTGAAACAAAGCAATAAACAAAATGAGTACAATCACATAATAAAAGACAGCTCTATTGAACTGTAGGTTTAATGTATTGATCCCTAGAATGAGTCAAAGACCTCTGTTCCTTCCCACTTTCTTCACTGAAAAGATATTTCTACTGTGTTACAAGAAGTCACCGTCATCACGGGAATTCCTACGTTCTGCACAGAGACCAAAGTGAAGAAAATTAAGGGGACAGATTTGCAAGTAATTGAAGTAAAGTGCTTATACATGGACACGTAAACTTAATGTGCATGTCATTGATTTGGTTCATTCATAACGATCTTTCCTTATACTCCCTAATATAAAGATGATTCCCAAAAGTATGTTACCTACCTGACAAATCCCACTTTTTCCATTTCCAAAATGTGTGCACAGCATATTTTTGCTGTTGAAGTATTTCTGCCAAATCTTCTTGCATTGTTTATTGTCTTGAATTGTGAGAGTTGCTTCTTGCAGAACACTTTCGGCATTCCCGTTCGCAGTTTTCTTGCCCCAGCCAGCCACGGAGCAACGGGTGTTAACTTTAACTTTAACTTCTTTCTTTGGCAGTGTAAGTAGTTTCACATTTTCATTAAGTGTGGCATTTGCCTTGAGCTAGTTACAAAGCAGAATGAAGAAATACCGTAACACCAAAGAAAAAAATAATCTTTACATAAATTGTATGAAAAAGAAATACAGTCTACAAAATTTATTTTATTTAATCTTAATTTTATATTTATTGTTTTGTTGGAAAATAATAGTTATTATTACCTTGTAATCTATAACATAAAATTTCAAAGTGAAAACTGAAACCAGTTTTCTGGCTTAATGTTTACTCAATGTTGGCCTGAAGATGTACACATTTGTTTTGATGTTGAAACATTTTAATAACTATGACACTGTATAACTTTGTCGTTTGAGTGTTAAAAACTATTAAATAAAAACTGATAATAACCCAATGAAACAGATAAAGTATGTTCGCAGGTGAAAAAAAACTTTAAAATGTGGAAAGCTAATGGTACTGTACCTTCAATAACATTAAGTCAAAGTCTAAAGGGCTTAACGAATGTAAACCATGTTTATAAAATTTTTTCACTTCAATTTTCTGCTGTGATTTCTCTTTCTTCCTTATATTGTGGGCACCCAAAACAACAGTCAGAGGTCTGTTGCTAAAAGGAACAGAGAAAACAGTGGTGTTGTAAAATAAAATTAAAGGAACCTGGATTCATGTAAGCTTATTTTGGAACTACATACAGTATGCTTCCAATTTTACTTTCACACAATATTAATTTACCATTTCATTTAAAAGCGTATTGAGGAATGATTATGTTTTAAATTAATAATTTAAAATGACTTCTTTAATATTACTTAAAAAGCAATCTATTGCAATTACATGTTCCTTGTGTAGGGAAATGTACGCAAACTATATTGAACATTGTTATCTGATTTCTTTTCAGCATGATTTCCCCTACATGTTTTTTCATTTTAAAACCTTTTCCCAACACTGTGTATATTCAGGTCTTACTGTTGGAGTGATGAAGGAGGGAGGGACTGGTGAGTGTGCATTTACAAAGCAGCCAAACATCAAATTCAACTGTCTGGATAATTATTATAATCAGACATACAATCTGCTATATTAGGAATAGCATATTTGCGCAAAGTGCAGTTATAACCTTAGTCAGATATAAAATTATAATTCAGTTATGAATCATGTCAAAATGGCAGCCATGCTTTTGAAATGGCTTGTAAATCTAACAAAAATAAACTAAAACTTTGTTACTTAAAAGAAAATGGTGACAACATGGTTTGGTTTAAAATAATAATGTCTGTTGCTGTTTTTTTCTCCAAGAACATATGCCATGTTCTTAGTTTGTGGAAATTTAAAGGTTTGAAGCTTAAAAGGAGATCAGAACACTGGACTGACACAAATATGGCTAAATTCAAGTCTCACAGATGACTCTTAATCAACAAGCAAAAGACCTGATGCTTGGCCAGTTTACATTTTTATACTGATATTTCATGTGAAGGTGGCACAGTAGCACAGAGGTTTGCAGCTCTGTGGCCCTAGGCTAATTTCTTGGGGTGTTGTGTGGAATGTGTTTGTGGCCCCAGTGTGAATCTGTGTGTTTGTGTCTGTGTGTGTCCTGTGTTCGATTGGTGTGTCGTCCAGAGTATATCCTGTCTTGTGCTTATTGCTTGCCAGGATAAGTGCTAGTATTCCCTGTGGCCCTGAACCTGATAAAGCAGTTATAAAATAGAATGATGGATGTTTTATGTGACAGTAAACTATTCTTTGAATAATATTATTTTTTCTTAAGATTCATAGTCTTCTATAAACCTGTAAAATCAAACTTAAAGACCTTTTCATAGAATAATTAAAACTCACTTATAACAGTGTGCAGCTGTCAAAACAAAGTCTTCACGGATCAGAAATCCTCCACAGACGTGATGGTCATCCACCTGTAGTGATGCCATGTAAGGCCTGGAGTGCGGTTCTGCAGTCTTCCCTCCAATAACATAACTGTCAAAAGCTCCTTAAGAAGATTGGCATGCAAAGGAATTCACATGAGAGTCTTAGATTAAATATCAGTATGTTCAACACATAAAAAAAGTTATGCAAGTTACTTGTAGTTTAATGCTAAACTAGGCAGAGTTGGAAAGGCCTTCAGCATTCTTTATCTAACCTTACACAGAACTAAA